CTTGGAGATCTGAAGGCCTGCCAGCCCTGTGGCTGGGCTTTGGCTGGGCTGGCACTTAGGACCTCTCTTGGACGTCTGCCGGGTTGCTTTTAACTGGCCCGGGCACAGCTGCCCTGAAGCACACCTGTCAGGTCTCAGGGCTTTAGGACAGGAGCTGTATCCAGATCTTTCTGTCTTTGGTCAGGCAGCTAGCTGCTTGCAGGTTGTGCCTTCTCCTGCAGCTGAGAAGAGAACAGAGGCCATGTCTTGTTCACCTTCCCAATCCCCTGCTGATTGTCCTATGCTGCAGGTATTTTCTGTGACATCTTACTGAACACCACTTGGCTAAGCCTGTCCTGGGTCAACTGCATGCATCTAAATTCATCTTTTTTGTCCCTTTCCCCACTAGACACAAAGCAACATACACAACCACTATCTCTAGTTCCTGCTACTCAGTGATATAAGTTATGGCACCACCAGGAAGGACTACTTGTATACCTTTATAATATTATATTGATTGCATTTTGATCCACCAGACCAAATGTAAGCAGTCTATCACAATGAGGGGTTATTAGGGAAGACATACCTTACAGTCATGTGGGAATGAACCAAAGCTTTGGACGTACCTACTCTGTTATTCCATTGTAGCTTCTAGGTTAAGATGGTTGCATCTTCTCAAGGGACTAAGGATTTGTGTGAAAGCTGCAAGAATTTGGGATGTGGGAACTCTGTAGATGAGTGAGGTCTTTGTGTTTTTGTTGATTATATGACCCCCATAACACTCCCCCCAAATACATATGAAATAAAATTTTCTTCTCCATTGACTTACTTGATTTGTTGTCTTGCTAATTAAGCTTCTTAAAAGGCCTTAAATGGCAGAAGAGGAATGGGCATCTATGCAGTTGAGTTTCCTAATTCTCTTGAGAACTAGTGATTTGCACTGGCAAATTCATCTTTCCTGACCTTGATCTATTTATAGAGTATTCATCCCTCACTGTTCGGACAGAAATTTGCAAGGATCCATTCTGTGTTGCTGTGATTACTGCCAGCTCCTTTTTCATGTCATCACCTTTCTAGACCCTGATTGGTCTTGACTTCCAGATGATACAGAAGTAGTT